AGAAAAATAAAAATTACGCTAAGGAAATCGGAGTTACGGAGTTCAACTGACTTAGGCAATAGATCATAAGAGAGGATGATACGTCGAAGATTCGAATAAAACGTCGATGAACCAATGATATGCCAGACAATATTTGATTAGCTTTATCTTGTTTATTCTGATAGTCTTTGTATGAAAATAATTAGATAACTCACTTTTTCTAACGGAAGATTAGTCCAATTTAATTAAAGAAATTTGGTCAAATCAAGAGATGGGTGTTTGAACAGATGTTTGACCAAGTGGATGCATAAAGCATTTATCATTATTATATGGATTCAAATGGATGTATAAAACGTTAATAATCGTTACATGATCACAATCTTGAAATGTCATCCGTCTATATTATTTTTCTCACGTATTGCTTATATTCAACACAACATAACTCTACCGAATATACAAAATTATTTTCGACATTGTATAATGTTCTAAATGCCACATTATAAAAAGTCATTTTAAGTATGTTCATAAACATACTCATTCTATAAATATTTTCGATTTATTATTCTCATTGCTTTATTGATATCATGATCCCCAAACTAACTTAAAATGTCTTTATCGAGTGCGCCCCCAATACAATTTATAAGATCAAATGTCTTTCCGATTCAACCCTCAGGAGATAGATATGGAATATGACTCGATTTACTTTAACTCTATATTCAATTTAGATAATCAGATTTTTGTCTTTCGGGTTCGACGCTCACCTCGACCTCTGCAAACCGAGCTCAAACCCGGGAGATTTCTTGTACTCGGTGATCGCTTCTTTAATTCTCCTGGGCAGCCCTAGGCACTCCTCCTTCAAAGCTTGACCAAGAAGCGGACCTAGCGGATTCAACGTCCTTAGAGAGGTTCAGTCTCTATCCGAGTCGCGTAGCTCGGTCCCCCGACCAGCGACTCGTCGGTCCAAACTTGAGCACGAGTCCAATTGCTCAGCCAACAGGTTCAGTCTTTGCCCGAGTCGCGCAACTCGGTCTCCCGACCAACGACGCGCCAGTCGAAACCTAAGCTCGAGTTCAGTCGCTCAGCCAACAGGTTCAGTCTCTGCTTGAGTCGCGCAACTCGGTCTCCCGACCAATGACTCACTAGTCGAAACCTAAGTTTGAGTTCAGTCGCTCGGCCAACATGTTCAGACTCTGCCCGAGTTATGTAGCTCGACCCGCCGACCAGTGACTCACCAGTCCAAACCTGGGCTCGAGTCCAATTGCTCGACTAGCAGGTTCAATCCCTGCCTGAGTTGCACAGCTCGGTCCCCCGACCAACTACTCTCCAGTCCAAACCTGAGCCCGAGTTCAATAGCTCGACCAACATATTCAGTCTCTACTTGAGTCGCGCAGCTCGATTCACCGACCAAGGACTCACTAGTCCAACCTTGCCCGAGTTCCGTGGCTCAGCTAACAATTTCAACCCTCACCCGAGACACGAAGCACGACTTGCCAAGCAGCCCCATGACAAATCGGCCCGACTACCCCTCACGAGCAATCGATCCACACACGGCACTCCTACGAGCCAGGCGTGCCCCTCGCCCTCTTGCAAGGACCTTATGGCACGCCTCGGGGGAGGGGGAGGGGAGGTAATAAGGTATATTTTGGACTCCAGCCATGTCACAACCCGCACCACATCATACCCCTACCAAGTCAGCACGAGTGATACTTCCCCGCGTCGAGCCGAAACTCATACCAAGAGGCACCCCATATCAAGTCTCGTCCCGGAAAGCTCAGGACAACGTCGCATGGCGTTGTTCCGTGCATTCCGGGTGGCGACTACACAAAGGTACCATCTCGCCACTCGGGGATTGACCGAGAGACGCCTTCCTGGAAGACGGTGTCAGCGTCCCGACCGAAAGACGCATTTCCTCAAACGACGTCTGCATCCTGACTTCCTGATATAATCGGCTTCAGCACTTCTTTCAATCGATCATGAACTCCCAACATTGACCCGGGGATCAAGCCGTGCTAACTCATCGGTCATGACGTATCAGTTCACCAACACCCTGAAACCAATGTTACGGTGGGGAGCCATGTTTTGATCAAGCGATAGGAACAAAAAAAAAAAAGAGCAAATTTCTTTAAAAACAACCAAAAAAAAGCAAATTACGTGTAACCTCATAATCTCAATATAAACTCACTTGTAATATGAATGTAATAATAGTATATTATATATTTTTTTTCAAGGACTTACACAATAAAGTGATTACAACATGATAATAACTTGTTGACAGTTTATTATTTTTTACTTAAATTTCAAGCTACTTATATTTATATTTGATATATTTTTAGCATAATATTATCATAATATAAAGACGTTCAACATGAGTGTTAATAAGGGTAATAAATGACGACAAGACTCGGGCTAACGTCAGCTGACCGTGACGAAGCTCATGCCTCGATCAACCCGGTAGAACCTGGTCAAACGAACCAGAACACAGGCTGAGACCCATTAACGACCGCTCAGGCTCAATCCCTCACGCCACACCAACAGCAATGTCAGACGCCATCAAAGGTACGATCCTGCTCCTACGAGTAGGCACATCAGGTAACACTAAACTTCCCTGTAAATACCCCTGCGTTCTAAACGAGCGGGGGGGGAGAGAGGGAGAGGCACATAGGAAAACACCGCACAACTTTACATCACTGACTTGATCGTCGGAGGGGTCGGGCCGAGCTTCCGACCCGACCTGTGTGCAGGTACGAGCACCGAGCAGTTTCCTCCCGACATCACAGAGTGGAACCCTTCCCCGCAGGACGCACCCACGAGTTCCTATGTAAGTGGATCCTTGCAACCGCCCGTATCGTAAACCCCCGAGGGACTCCGAGCATGATCCCCGCCATTCGGACCTGAACCAAGCCGCGACGGCCCCGAGGCCACGACTCAAAAGTTGTTCGCACCAACAAGTGTAATAGTATATTTAATTGTCGATATTGACCCGACCCTATATAATCGAGTGATCATAAGATGATATAATTAATTATTTTATTATTTGTTTTATTTTGCTTCGTCTAGAATATTGAGATATTTGTTCCATTATCATGTTGTACTTGCATCAATTAGTCTAACAGCTCTTGCAGGAGGCATGCAGGATTCGATTCTACATCATGTCACTGATTTGTTTATTTGGGGCATTCATCATCGACCTTCAAACATCGTGACCGACACATTGTTGATGGACAACGAGTCCTGCTTGCTCGTCGAGGAATCGGGTTCCAGCGGCCCTCTCATGGCAACAAAGCCCGGTTGCCTCGGCTGCGGCAGCAGCGCGCTGTCGCTTCCCAACATGAACAGCACCGACGACATCGTCGGTCGGTCCTCCGGTCGCTCCTGAACGCATAGAAGGCCGACCTTCATGCACCTCAAGACTTCCGCCTTGGGGTACGAGTCGCCGATGGCTTCGTCGACCAAGTCGAGGCCTTTACCTTCTCTCCATAGGCTCCACGTCTGAAGGCAATCACTGTTAGTGGCACACCGAGGGAGGAAGACGACGATGAGTTCTTATACTTACGTATCCCAGAAGATTGAGGTT